TAGTTTCTCTTTAGAAAAAAATGTGAATTTATTAGGTATGACTTAGTATTTTTCTGAAAAAGTAATTTTAAAACCTAAAGCTAGAGGTCTTTTGGGAGAATATAAAAAACATTTCTCTGTTAAAATTATTTTCAGTATCCATTAGACATTCAAAGCCTCAGAAACATCATGTGGTTTATCTCAGTCTTTTATTTATTTTCATTTTATAGTTATTGGTATCATTATTTACAAATATATTCCCAATTTCTAATTCCTTTATATATAAATATTTATTTATAGTTAAGCTGACCACCATTTGCATTTCTCCAAAGATCTCCTTACCATGACAATCTGTTCTGTTTTACCCTAGACATAGATTTATTTCTATTCCAGCACTTCCCAATGCACTTTGCACATACTCTAATAGTATTCATTATGCGTTTGTTGAATAAATGAGTAAATGCAATAAGAAAGTAATGAAAGCCTGAAGTCTCATGTCCAAGTTCCCTACACCAATTACTTACTCTTTTTGATCATCACAGAATTCACCATCTCTATATCACATAGAGTAGGAACACATTATTATTCTTCCATAGACAGCTGAAATTCTAACATTTTATTCATTATTTCCTCCCTTCACCTCTTTAACCTGACCCCTCTCAATTACAGATGTGCACAACAGACACATATACACACACACTCACACTCTTTCACTCATGGAAAACTCCTTGGAGACAGGAACCACAACTTTTTCTCCTTCCAATATTTTACACCTCAGTTGCAATGAATGGAATCAATGTGTTCATCAAAGACTTCCTACTCTCAAGGAAAGTTCTATGTAGTATGATTTTTTGGTTGCTTAGCAGAGCAACATACGTCACCAAATTAGTTCATATTTAAGGATTTTTGCTGCATGTGACAGTTTATTATATACTCATTTTATTTTACAAAAAAAAAAAAACAGACACAATCCTCATTTCTAGAACTACATTGTAATAGAAAAAGGATCTCAAAAAGTTTAACCCAGGAATAACAATATAATAGAGAATATCTAAAATAATATTCCTTTAATACATAGCAAAGTGACTGAAATTAACTGATATTAGAACAATTCATAGGTTACTGTGTTAATACTACATATATGGTTGGAGGGGAGAGGGAAGTATGATATTGGAAATGTGTAAGAAGGGTTAACATAACATTAAGGGCATGGATTTGGGTATTGGCTCTGAGTTTAAGTGTTAGCTCTGCATATGTGAACCATAGGATCTTGGGGAAGTTAAATATAAATTCTCTGATCTTCAATACCTGTTTTATGTTACTGTTTTGATGATTTAATAATAAAAAGGAATCTCTCCAAAATATTAATTTTCCATTTATACTTTCATAATTGTTTCCATATTTGTATATTACCTGTTATTTACTTAATATTTCTAAATGCACCTACATGTTGGCCTTTGTATTTAAAAGAAAAATATAAATGAAAGCTGTATTTCTTCTAATTCATATGAAAATGAATGCATAAATACCAATATGAGAAATTTGTGTGTCTCCTAAGTGATACACATAGTATGACTACTGTCCTTGAGTTAACCGTGTGATAATTCTAAATTGAAATGACTTAGAATGGAATGTAGTATAATATATAATTGCTGCCCAGTAAATTATGACTGTAATTATTATTCACAATTCAAAAAGTACAGTCAGGCACTGCAAAATGATGTTTCAGTCAATGATGGACTGCATATACAATGATGGTTCCGTAAGATTATAATACCATGTTTTTACTGGGTGATCAAAACTCAACAAAGGTTTTTAACTGCCCTGTGAAATAAAGATCATACTTTCAGGCCTGTCATTCAAAAGCCTGGAAGATTGTGTTTCAAGCTATGCTTCCAGTCTTGTATCCTAATACTTGCTTTCATTGAAATTCAGCTACGGTATGTGTCACATAAGATTTTGATCAACAACAGACTGCATATATGACAGTAGTCACAAGATTGTGAGACCATACTTTTACTGTAACTTTACTATGTTTAGAAACACAAATACTAATCTTTGTGTTATGATTCAGTATTCAATGCAGTATTCAGTACAGTGACATACTGTACAGATTTGTAGCCTAAAAGCAGTAAGTTACACCATATATAGCCTAGGTGTGTAGTAGGCTGTCTCATCTAGGTTTGTCTGAGTTATACTCTGTGATGTTTGCACAATGACAGATTTGCCTAACAATGCATTAATCAGAACATTTCCCCATTGTTAAGGGATGCATAACTGTATAATAATAATAATAAATAAATGATGTATTATTCAAAGTAGTTTTTAGGGAAAAGATGAAATTTTACTGCAGTGGCTAAATACATTTGGTAAAGGGGTGCCAAAGTTTCAGGAAGTATCCTGATTTCTTTTATGCAAACTCTATTATGAGACCATGTCACAATTTTTGTTTTTAAATACTTAAGAAGGGAAATAATTTTGGTGCACAAGGTCTAGTGAGGTGAAAAGAGACTGCATTTCTAATAAATTTCCACATGCTGACACTGCTGTTTCATGGACCACACTTTATGAACCACTGCTCTAAGTTATTTGGTCCATCTTTCTTTCTTGTTCATTTGTTTATTGCAGTCCATCATGTGGGAATAAATCCATACCTAGAGGGAATAAATCCACATGAAATAATGAAAGACTATTTTAAGGTAAGGAGTGCCTCCAAATTATTTGCAATAAGTTAGTTCTTTTTTATCTTGACTTTGACAACCTAATTCACTGACCTGAGCTCACTAACCCTAATGATTCTGAATCTTAGGATAAATCTCCTACTGGATCTATTTCTGCTTATAGTACTTTAGGACCACAAAACTCTTGTTATCTGGAAAGACCAAATGACATCAATTTTATGAATAGATGAAATGTTCCTGTGCTCTGAATAGTTCAGGCTTTAAAAAAGGTTCAGTCACTAAATACTTTGCCCATTGACATAAAAAGGTCTGAATCACCTTCCACTTCCACCCATCCCCAGTCACAACCATGGAAAAAGGTCTTCGCATTTTGATATATTCTTAACCTTTCAAGGGCCTTAAGAAGAGTTAACTGGGACGAAGAAGACACCCTGGGAAGAATGACTTTTACCCCTAGCTTGAGTTCTATAGTTAACCCTACCCCGTGTTCTATCTTTCTGGTTATCCCCTACTGGTCTCACACACAAAAATGATCCTACTTGAAATTCATGTTTACTACAGATTCATCAGTATCTGCTATGGACTTGCAAAGTATGTAAACATCGATTTCGCCTTTAGCTGTTCCCTTGATTTTAGGTCCTTGTGATGCTTTTGCCTTACAAACCCTGTGAATGGTTCTTCTGGCTTTTCTTTATCTGATCTTTTTCTAATGTTTATGTCTTATAATATCAATTATCACTTCTTTAGCTAGCTGTCATTATTATTATCATTATTATTATTACTATAGAAATGGGGGTCTCACTGTGTTGGTCAGACTGGTATCAAATTCCAAGGCTCAAGCAATTCTGTTGCCTCAGCTTTCCAAAGTGCTGGGATTACAGGTGTGAGCCACTGTGCCTGGCCATGTTTGTTTTTGTGTTTTCTTGTTTTTGTTTTTTTCTTTTTCTTCTTTCTTTCTTTCTTTCTTTCTTTCTTTCTTTCTTTCTTTTTTTCTTTCTTTCTTTCTTTTTTTTTTTTTTTTTTTCTTTCTTTCTTTCTCTTCCTTCTCTTTCTTTCTTTCTTTTCTTTCTTTCTTTCTTTCTTTCTTTCTTTCTTTCTTTCTTTCTTTCTTTCCTTCTTTCTTTCTTTCTTTCTTTCTTTCTTTCTTTCTTTCTTTCTTTCTTTCTTTCTCTCTCTCTCTCTCTCTCTCTCTCTCTTTCTTTCTTTCTTTTTTTCTTTCTTTCTTTCTTTTTTTTTTTGTTGTTTTTTCTGTAGAGATGCGGTCTCACCATGTTGCCCAGGCTGGTCTCAAACTCCTGGGCTCAAGTGATCTTCTTGCTTTGGCCTCCCAAAGTGCTAGGATGACAGGCACTGGCCTAGTTCTCATTCATTTTTTATTGCAAATCTTTCTAGCTTTACCTTCACTGCTAAGGACCTAGAGTGAATTTTTCCTGCTAGTTCTCTCAAACCAGGTTTATATTTGATTGTCACATTTGATGATTGGCTTATAAGATATGATAAAAATATACAAGGGTTTTCACATGATTCCTGAAGTTTCAGTTAGTGAGTGCTCTTGTTCTCATTCAGTTTTCATTATTTTCTTAATAATTTTTCTATCTGGATTTACTTTAATTGTGTCATTTGAATTTTACGTTGCTTTTTTTTTTGGAATTTTGACCATCTGAATATTTTCCCTTTTTAAAAATTTGCAATTATATTTTTCAAATTTTATAAATATATATCATTTTCCTATGTGTATAGGAGCTAAGTCTTCAGTTTTGCCAACAGGGACAGACAACTGTATAATGATCCTTAGCTGAAGGTATTACATACTAACTTATGATATTCAAATAATCTTTTGTATGACCACCACTGATTTAATAACAAAAAGGATTATTGTGTTATTCTTTGAGGGTTTTTAATATGGAAAACTGCTGCTCCTAGTTTGTATCTTTTTTTTCTGTGCTCTAGTCCTTCCTCCTTTCCCTAACTCTCAATGCCTTCAGAGAACCCTCTGCTATCACAATTCCTAAATCCCTCTCCAAACCTTGCTCCTTTCTCACCCACACAAGAATGCATCCAAGTGGAATCTGCTTTTAGAATCCTTTTCTGAACTTCACTGATACTTCCATCAAAATTGACTGGTCCTTTGCCTCTCTTTGTGCTGTTAGTATATCAGATAAATGAGCTTATTCTGTGTCTGATAATGTATCTTTTAATAATAATAAATGGATAAATGGACACCGTATCAATGGAACATGAAGGTGTCTTAGAGTGTGACTGGACAGCCCAAGGACGGTCTAGAATCAAGAACTGGAGAGCTATTGGGCATTCGAGCAACTATTCCACTTGTTTACTCACCTGTGGATAATATGGTTTCTTGTCTGTTGCATTCGTCTCTTACATGAACAACACAACTGTTTCTCCATGCACGCATCCATGCCAGAGCTCTCAATTTCATGTTTGTAGTAGAAAACTACATTATCAGTCTCTTTGTTACAAGTCAATAGGATAGAGATGTTGACCCAGGCTGGGATCGATGGTGCAGCAATTTCCAGGAGAAGGTGGTGTAGGACAATTACAACTGTTGAGGCCAACCCCTGGAGGTGAGGACAAGTTTGAGATGAATGTGGATTTTAGGCCATGGTAAATAAACATGGTTATTTAGGTTCTATTTATAAATATGTTTACATGAATCTTCACTTTATAAAAATAAGGCTTGCATATGATAAAACAAAACATAGTCAGATAGTCATTTTGTTTGTTTGTTTGTTTGCCCGTTTTTAAGACGGAGTCTCATTTTGTGGCCCAGGCTGGAGTGCAGTGGCACGATCTCGGCTCACTGCAACCTCCACCTCCCAGGTTCAAGCAATCCTCCCTGCCTCAGCCTCCCAAGTAGTTGGGATTACAGGAGCCAGCCACCACGTGTGCCTAATTTTTGTATTTTTTAGTAGAGATGGGGTTTCGCTATGTTGGCCAGGCTGGTCTAGAACTCCTGACCTCAGGTGATCCCCCTGCCTTGGCCTCCAAGAGTGTTGGGATTATAGGCGTGAGCCACTGTGCTGGGACCAGAGAGTCATTTTACTACCAAAGAAAATATACCATCCCGTCCCATCCCTGAAGTAACCATTTTAAAATTTTTTTTAGTTTGAGTGATGGTTTTCTTTTTTAATTTTTTTTTTTTTAACTTACATACAGGAAAGAGTTACTTAATGTGAAGCTTCACACATTTTCATAAAGTTAACACACTCATGTTGTCAGTATCTGGATCAAGAATTTGCATATTACTAGCACCACGAAAACCTCCCTTAGTCATCACTCCTTTGCCCAAATGTAACCACTACTTTGTCTTCTAATACCTGAGATTAGTTTCTCCTGTTTTTATTTTGCCAATGGAATTAACACATACTTAAGGTTTTTTGTCTGGTTCTTTTGCTCAACATTATGTCTTAGGGGGTTTATCTGTGTTAATTTGCATTGTTGTTAATTTCTTTATTCTCATTGTTGTATGCAATTGTTTGAGAATACGATCTCCATTCTAATGTGGCTGGACACTTGCCTTATTTCCAGTATTTGGTAATTTCAACAAAAGCTGCTAGATATATTCTTTTACACATCCTTAGCTATACATATATGCACATGCCTGTTGGATGTACACCAAGAAGAGGTATTGCTGGGTCATGGAGCCAATTTAAGATAAACTGTAGCAAGTAGCTTTCCAAAGTGCTATAACAATTTTACACTCTGATAATCAGCATATGAGAATGATAGACTTTCTAGATCCTAGACAATAAGTAGGATTATTAGACTTTTTCATCTAAGCCTTTGGCTATATAATTATATTCCATTGTGGTTTTAGTTTGCATCTTCCTATGATTATTAAGGTTGAATATCCTTTCATATGAATTTTTTTCATAAAGTGATAATTAAAGTATTTTGCAAATTTCTTGTTTCTATTTTTATTATTGATACATATTCTTATTGATATATACTATATGCATGTGTGCATGTAATATATATAAATACAATGTATATTGTATATATTCTATATACAAATCTTGTGTCAGATACATGAATGACAATTATCATTTCCAAATTTGTAGATTGCCTTTTCTCTGTCTTAATGGTGTCTTTATGAACAGAAGTCAAATTTATCAATCTTTAACATTACAAAATTGGAGGTTTAATGAAGTCCCAATTTATTGATCTATGACTTCGTGGTAGGGTCTTTCGGTGTCTTATTTAAGAGTTTTTGACTACCTGAGATAACAAACATACCTTCCTGTGTTATCTTCTAGATGAATTTCTGTTATAGCTTTCATATTCAGATCTGCAATTTTTTTGTGTGTAAATTTTAAGGAAGGAGACATAATTATTTTCTTCTATGTGGATACTCCTACACCCAAAACCACTTTTTAGAAGATAATTATCTAACACTGCATTGCACTATCACCTTTGCCACCAATAAGGTGATGATATATGTGTGAATCTGATTATCAAATCTATTCTGTTCTGTTGGTCTATGACAATACTTCATTGTCTTAATTATAGTAAGTATTGCCATGTGGTACCATAAGTCCTCCATCTTTGTCGTCAAGAATGCCTTGTCTATTCTTGGCTTTGCATTATCATAGTATTTTGGAGTCAATGACCAATTTCCACAAAAAATCTGCAGAGCTATTGGGAGATTGCATTAATATGTAGATAAATTTTGAGGAATGGTTAGATTTTATAATACTGTACCTTGCAGTCCATGAATATGGAATGGTTTTCATTTACTCATACCTTCTTCAATGCCTGATAATATTTAATACATTTACTGTTCATGAGAGTATTAATATTTGGCTATTAACACTGGCATTATATACTTAACCCAAAGGAGATTGTAGCTATTGATTTCAGATGTGCAGTTTAGCTCTAGTTTGGTGGAGTGACAGTAAAGAGATGAAGGGAAAAGGTTGCTTTATCTTTTTTGTATCATAACAGATAGTTGGCTAATTTCCTAGACTGCTCTAACTTTGGTAATGTCCTTAACTTGACATTTTGAAGTGGCTGTGTTGGTATTTGCCTTATGTTAGTGTGGATTTGTTTCTCTTCTAAATCTTTGCTCTAGGATGAAAGATACTTATGTTTAACGTCTAATCACAAAGATTCATGCTGGAATAGAATATAGAATTTCATTTCTAGATGAACAAAGAAGCAGAAGTAAACTCTATTTTTCACCAAATGCTCATGCTTCTAGATGAATTAGGCATATGGTTGGTGGAAATGTTTTTTCAGTCTTCCAAAGAAAAATGGTTTGTTTGATGCCTCTAGTGCCTAAGTGAGATATTGTCAAGAAAAGAAAATGATTTTAGCATATCAGTTTGCTGAATTTGATTTTCAAGTGAGAATTTTTACATTAAGAAAAGTAAGGTCTACTTATCTGTCATCAGAAAAATAAGATCTATCAATCTGAAAGATCTATCTATATATCTTTTTTATGTTGAAGACATTTGCAATATATTTCTACCCCCTTTTTTTGGTTCACTGTAGGAACAGATGTTTCACAGCTGACACATCTTGGATAAACGACGTGGGATCTACAATATATATGAATTTATATCTCTAAGATAATATTTATTGTTTTACTATAGAATCAAAAATAAGTTATAAGAGAAAAAAGAACATTCATTGACAAAGAATTCTTTATTATCTACATTTAGCAATTTTGGGAAACCTCAGTGGATAAGAGTCCGGGTACATTTAGATCTGAATGAATTATTTAATAAAATTTCATATTAATATTAATAAATATTCTGACTTTTGGTTTATGTATAGTATTCTGGTCAAGCAAAATTCTGTTTTCGTAAACCTTATAAATCTCCAAATTATTTCCTGATGATGCAAATATGTTCAATAAATACATTCCCAGGAATAATTTAGATATCACAATAATAACAATAGCTATAATATCTGTTTTATTATATGGCCCACATTCACAACAGGCATGCACTTTGTTCCATATTGCTTATTACTAACCTTATGAGGTAAGCAATAAGAATATTTCTATTTTGCAAATGAGGAAGCAGAAGTTCTGAGATAGTAATTGATTAGACCTGGCTCATATGGCTAGAAAAAGACTTAGTGATAGATTCAAATCTGGATTTACTTACTCAATAGTGTACTGACTAATGCTACTGCATCCCACAAGATCTGGCACAAAACACTCATTCTAGCTTTTTTGCAATGAATTTCTTATGACAGCATATTTATACGTATAACAGACATAACTCTTTACCATTGATGGGGGCAGGTTCTTTTCAGTATTTGACTATTAGGAGCAAAAATACTATGAATATGACTGTACTAGGGTGTATGAGTTTTTGTGTTAATATATATTTTCTTTTCTCTTGGAAAAATGCCTAGGAGTAAAAGTTCTCAGATGTATGGAAAAATGTATGTTTAACATTGTAAGCGACTGCCAGACTCTTTTCATTTCTTTCTTTCTTTTTTTTTTTCTTTTGAGATGGATTTTCGCTCTTGTTGCCCAGGCTGGAGTGCAATGGCAGCATCTCAGTTCACTTCAATCTCCACCTCTCGGGTTCAAGCGATTTTCCCGCCTCAGCCTCCAGAGTAGCTGGGATTACAGGTGCCCACCACCACGCCCAGCTAATTTTTTTGTATTTCTAGTAGAGACGGGATTTCACTATGTTGGCCAGGCTGGTCTCGAACTCCTAACCTCAGGTGATCCACCTGCCTCAGCCTCCCAAAGTGCTGGGGTTACAGGCATGAGCCACCACACCCAGCCCTACTCTTTTCAAAGTGGATGTACTATTTTGCATTCCCACCCCAAACAACAAATCAAAAGTTCCAGTTCCTTCTTGTTTTTGACACTTTAAAAGAAGTTTAACTAGTCCAGTAAATGTGTTAAAATACTCCATTGCATTTTTATTTTGAATTTCACTAATGACTGATAATGTTGTTCATATTCTCATTTGCTCATATCCATGTGTGTATCTTTTTTGCTTTGTCGGCTCTTGACCATATTTTAGAATCGGGTTGTCTTCTTATTGATTTTTAAGTATTTTTATATTCTAGGTACAAGTCCTTTATCATATATGTTTTTCAAATATTCTCTCCCATGCAGTGGCTTCTCTTCTTTTTTTGAAGGATGTCTTTTGAAGAACAAAAGTTCTTAATTCTGATGAAGTCCAATTTAGCATTTTCATCTTTTATATTCAGTGTTTAATATGTCTAATCTAAGAAAGATTTGCCTAACTCAAGTTCATAAAGATTTCCTACCATGTTTTCTTTTGCAAATTGTATATTTTTATCTATATTTTAATTTATGATCCATTTCAAGTTAATATTTACCTATCCTGTGAAGTAAGGATCAAGCTTTATTTATTTATTTATTTATTTATTGCTCATGGAAATGCAGTCATTCCATCACTATTGGTCCAAGAGGCTATTTCTTTTTTTCCCAGTTGAGTTACCTTGACACTTTCATAGAAAATCAATGGGCTATATAGCTGTGTACCTGTATCTGGACTCTCTTTTTTTGTGCTGTTGATCATGATGTCTATTCTTAAGCTAATTTATTGAGTACTCTGTTTTT